TTGCCCAAAATTAGATAGCTCCCGAGTAGCAGGACTGGGATTATCATTGCCACATATGTTCATAGAGTCAATGTTCTTAATCTTTATGCTACACTGCAAAGACAAAGATCTAGAAAATGGGAGAAAAAAGATTTTTTTTAAATTAGAAGATCAACCCAGAAGGCCCAACATCCAAATAATAGAAGCTCCAGATAGAAAAAAAACTGTTGAGACAAAGAGAATATCCTAAAAATTCTGCTGAGAAAAAAATGTCACTTACAAGGATTGATAATCAGAATACATAAGACTTCTCAACATCAACAGAGAAAGCTGGACGGTGTAGTAATACCTTTAAAATTCTAAGAGAAAAGTGCAACCTAGAATTCTATATCCCATCACATTCTTAATTTGGTGAGAAGGTAGAATAGACATTTCATATTGAAAGGTCTCAAAAAATGTTCTACCCACACTCTTTCTCAAGAACTTACTGTAAGATGCACTTCAACAAAACAAGAGTAAATGATAAGGACGATACTAGGAACCAGGGTTCCTACATGAGAACGAACCAGGGCAATGCAGAAAATAGCTGTGAAGGGAGATCCCAAGAGAACCGTGGTAGCACGTCTAGACAGCAACCCGTCCAGATTGGAGCAGGAGTACAGGGGGCTCCAGGAGGAATATCTTCATGAAAAATACCAGTAGGTGATCCTGCGTGAATGGCGATACTAGGAACCAGGGTTCCTACATGAGAACGAACCAGGGCAATGCAGAAAATAGCTGTGAAGGGAGATCCCAAGAGAACCGTGGTAGCAGGTCTAGACAGCAACCCGTCCAGATTGGAGCAGGAGGACAGGGGGCTCCAGGAGGAATATCTTCATGAAAAATACCAGTAGGTGATCCTGCGTGAATGGACTGAGATTAACACTCTGGTAGGTATTAGGTCAGAAATTAACCACAATACACTGAAAACCAAGCAAATGCAAAGAAGAAAATCATCGGCTTCAGGAAAAACAAAAAGCTGTATAGGAAAGAAATGTAACCATTGGTGAACAATACTTAGTGAAAAAAAAATGATGAAATAAAATAAACAGTGGGCAATGATTTAACCCAAAATTATACTCTATAAAGCTCTGTAAGGGAAAAAAATGTTTGTGTGCTTTGTTCACTGCTTTTTTTCTTGGCAGTTAGAGCTGTGCCTGGCACATAATAGGCACTCAATAAATATTTGTTGAGTCTATGAATTAATTTAAGGAGGCAAGAGGGAGGATGTACGAGGGAACTTCAAAAAATTCATGGAAAGATTTGTACTCATATTATCTTTTAATTCTACTTTCTCACAAACTTTGCGAAGTACTCTCATATATGTGTGTAGAATGAGAATGAGGTAAAAGAGTTAGATCCTTATCCTCCAAAGTAGAAGTAGACAATGTCTACAACTGAACAAACAACAAAAAACAAAAGATAGAGGTATGATTATGCAAAGACCAAAAGAGACCAATTTAAAAAGTAGTGAGTGGTTGCCATTGGCAATTGGGAAAATGGAAGTGAAATAGCTGAGAATCACTGCTTTTTACTACAAACCTTGTAGAACTATTTCATTTTTTAAATAATGACACATATAACTTAGAAATAATTACTAATTTACTAAAGTAATTATTAGCCCCCCACCAAGTCAAGTGGCAATCAGCAGACAGACCTGGCCTCCCAAACTAGCACAAAATTGCCATTCTTTCAAATTCCAAAATACATTCTTCTTATAGAAAGATAAAAAAAAAATACAGAAAATATAAAGAAATAACCCAAAGCAGCACTACACAAAGATAATCATGTTAAATATTTTGTATAACTGGATAGAATTTTCTAGGCATTTTTTCAACAACTAAATTTATAACTGGCATGTAAATTTGTAACCTGAATTCATGTCTAAAAAGGTTGAAACTAAAGAGGAAAAGATCATTCGCTGGAAAAAAGCCAAATTCTCACTACTCATAGCACAACAATTCAGTATGCATATTCTACTGAAAAGAGCGCCGGTGACATCATTTTCATGCCAAAAAAAAAA